GTTGTGAACCGAGCCAGCTGAAGCAAGGGAGAGATTTCATCTACAGGGTTATCTCTCGCTTAGCTCACACCTTTGAGGGCAAGTGGCACGATGAATTTACAAGGCGTAGAGGGTCGATATAACACGGCGTTAGGCGTTTGACTAAGGGCCGACCTAAGGTGCAACATGGCAACTCAAACAACGACTGCAACACGCCCATCACAACCGCCCGCCCACAAATGACGGCAGAGTCTCATCGACGTCCTCTTATCACTTCATTTATGAAGTGCAATTGATATGAAGCGTTGCTACATGGATATATGAATACATACGTGCAGCTTCATCTATCAAAGCGGTTGCTGGCACGATGCCAACGGGAAACTCGTCCAAAAATGCTCGTCCAATTTTCGCAGGTTTTCGCCGCTTAGCTTTGCTTTTTCGTCATTTTCGCACTATGTAGCATTTCTGCTACTGTTTTCGAACAAGTATTCGGTTATCGTGATTATCGTGCCTTATGCCGTTAACTCATGGCAAATAACTTGTGGTACAGCGCCAGCACTATGGGTTGGATAGTGGTCTACGGTAGCCAGGTCTACGATAAATCTTCAAAAGGGCCAGAATGAGCTCAAACGGAATGAGAGTATGATACGAGGACTCACAAAATAGAGCCATAAAGGAAGCAGCAACATATAGCTCATCCCGGCCTCTGTATTCTAGTCCCCCAGTCCCACGCTGCCCGGCGACCACGCACCAAACGACCCATTTCCGAGCACTCGTCCATAAATTGCCTACAGTTGTTCGCATTGCCACTACAACTTTTCAGAGTTTTCTGCTTATCACATTAGAATCACCTGCACAAGAGAAAAGTTAATAGAAATTGGGATGTGAGGGCAGTAAGGAGCCTCGCACACCTCAAACATTGATCCTACATAGAAGCTGGGCCCAGGCCCATTACAAATACTCAAAATGCTCCGCATCAGAGAAATTCCTTCCCCAGTCACGAAATGAATTCAATTATAAAATGATTTGTACTTCTTGTTGACGGAGACGAGTACTTCAGGACGTCGGGCCATTTGTGACACATAAGGTCAAATGTCTATTGAGAAGCCCTAATAGAGGCCATATTTCTATCCAGAAGGTCGCTGCACTTCTGGGTCACTGCCAGAGGATGCCTCGGAAAAATGGCTGTTTAGTATGACCATAACACTTGACAAGCACTCCCAGATGTCAGATCAAGTCTCAGGACGGCTCTTTCCCCTAAAGCAAGCTAGTTTCTTCAGTGAGGCCAAAGGGCCGTCCGAGTTCGCTTTGTGAGCATGTTTTGCTCGCGAATGTCCTCAGTACCACTTCTGCGAATGGTTTTGAATCAGAAATGACCGAAACGCGGTGTGAATTTCCGGACTCATTTCCGCCGTCTCATAGACGATGCTCACAACAGAAATGGCTTTCAATTCTTTTACTTCAAAAAAATATTAGGGGTTCTCAGAACACAACGCTTCGCCATAGTTAACACATCGATTGAAACAACTCGAGGGATGAAAGTTAAACAGAAATATCCGAAAGAAGTCGCGATCTAGGGCTAGATCGATAACTGTACTATCATATCGCTGACGCTGCCGGACGCTCGGAACGCTGGTAGACGCTATTGGTCACTATTGGTCACTGGTGGACGCTGCCCAAAGTGTGAACGCAGCCTGAGGGGAGGGGGGCTAGCGAAGGGTTTGAGTCGATACGACAACCTGCTCATGATGCCCAATGTAGGATGTGCCCCTGATTGCATAGATTTGCAGGAGTTTGGAGGTCTCCATAGGACGCACTGGGAATGATCGATGGGCACCAGCAACTTGCCTTCATCAAGCCAAGCGTTGAATTCGACCTTTTCCACCTCAAAAAGACGGTGTATATGAGAAATTTATA